CTTGGGAATCCCCCCCTCTTCTCCATAATGCAATATCGAATCATGGAATCATTTAGGTTGGGTAGAACCTCTAAGATCATCGAGTCCAACTGTTAACCCAGCACTGTGAGGTCCACCACTAAACCATGTCCCCAAGTGCCACATCCACATGTTTTCTGAACACTTCCAGGAATGGTGATTCTACTACTTCCCTGGGCAGCCTGTTCCAATGCCTAACCACTCTTATAGTGAGGAAATTTTTCCCAATTTCCAATCTAAACATCCCCTTGGGGCCATTTCCTCTTATCTATCACTTGTTATCTGGGAGAAGATATTGACCCCCACCTTTATACAAGCTCCTTCCAGGTAGTTGTAGAGAGTTGTAACATCTCCACCTGAGACTCCTTTTCTCCAGCTTAAACAACCCCAGCTCACTCAGCCACTCCTCCTAAGACTTTTGTTGCAGACCCTTCACCAGCTTCATTACCCTCCTTCTTCAGTTCTAAGGTTGTGAGGTCTATATGCTCTTCTCAGGACATTTTAGTTTCATTCTACCATTGGTGCCTACAAATGTAATTAGTTGCAGGGACCTAAAGGAACCTTGCTCAATTAAACCTTCTTCCACTAGATCTATGCAGCTTGTCTACATACTGTGCACTGGTTTGCCCTGAAAGGTAAATGCTACCTCGTTTTTTCGTTCGGGATTAAGGAAGAAAAAACAATGGACACTCATCAGAATTTGGAATGACTGATTTAAATTCTGTTAGCTGACAAATCATATAAAGTTCAACAAGGGAGAGTGCTGGACTTCGCACCTGGAATGGGGCAACCCCAGATGTACAGACTGACTGTGGAATGAGAGGCTGGAAAGCAGTGCCGTGGAAAGGGACCTGGGGGTCCTGGTCGAGGGCAAGTTGAATATGAGTCAGCAGTGCCTTGGCAGCCAGGAGGGCCAACTGTGTTCTGGGGGGCATCAGGCAAAGCATCAGCAGCTGGTCGAGCGGGGAATTGTCCCGCTCTGCTCTGTGCTGGTGTGGCCTCACCTTGAATATTGTGGCAGTTTTGGGTGCCACAATATAAGAAAGATATTAAGGTATTTGAGAGTGTCCAAAGGAGGGCAAAAAAGATGGTGAAGGCCCTTGAGGGGAAGCCGTATGAGGAGCAGCTAAGGGCACTTGGTCTGTTCAGCCTGGAGAAGAGGAGACTGAGGGGAGACCTCCTTGCAGTCTACGATTTCCTCATGAGAGGAAGAGGAGGGGCAGACACTGATCTCTCCTCTGTGGTGACCAGTGACAGGACCTGAAGGAATGGCTTGTAGGTGTGTCAGGGAAGGTTTAGCTTGGATATTAGAAGGAGGTTCTTCACCCAGAGCGTGGCTGGGCACTGGAACAGGCTCCCCAGGGAAGTGGTAACAGCACCAAGCCTGACAGAGTTCAAGATGTGTTTGAACAGTGCTCTCATGCACATGGTGTGACTCTTGGGGATGGTCCTGTGCAGGGCTGAGTGTTGAACTCAGTGATCCTTGTGGGTCCCCTCTAACTTGCATATTCTGTGATTCTGTGTGATTCTGTGATTTTTTGATTTTTGGTCTTTAATGAACACCTTCTAGTAGTATTTTTAGTCACTTCTATCAAAATTTGTTAAATTTGGTGCATATTTCTGATTAGTGTCTAAAACCCAGTGGAAACTAATTCTACAGTTCAGGTTTACATTTGGAAACCTCTGTACCTATATTACTCTAAAATCAGAAGAGAGTCTAAAATGGGACATGCTGAGAGTACAGGCATTTCCTGTAACATTGTTTTAAGATTCCCTGCATTATTTTTCTATCCTGTTTTTCATGTTCCCTAACTGATCTTTCACTGGGATAGCTGAGATCAGATGGAATAAACCCATAAATGCTGAAGAAAATGAAACTATTGCTTTATGCAACTCATTGCTTAAATCTGCCTTAAACGCTACCATGCCAGAAGAATGGAAGGTGGAAAATACGACTATTGAAAGGACTTCTGAGCTCACCAAAATCAGTCCTTGATATCTGTGCCAAACAACTTACTGGAAAATATAATAAGGAATAGAATTGGTAAACTGAATGATATGTTGGAGAAGAATCAGAATTGCATACCAAGAAGGATGTCATGTTTTGCAAACCTATTTGAAGTTCAAAGAGTGATATTTATTTAGATAAGGATGGTTCTGATAACATTATATACCTGGATTTTAAAAAAATTTTGAGCTGGTCTTTCACCATATGCTCTCAAAATGTGATCATATGGGATAAACAGAAACGGATAAAAAAATCATCTAAAGGCAAGAAAACTCATCATTAGATTACACAACATAATGCAGTTTCCAGAACCCACAAAAATCTCTGCTGTTCAACGTCTTCAGAAATTTTATGGAGACATTTAATGCCATGAGGTCAGTTGGCAAATAATGCAAAATTCATCTAAAGAGACAAATCCTAAACTGGTAATCAAGAATATCACAAGACATTTAGAAAAACAAAGAAATACTTTTATCTTTGCTTAGTAAGTTGAATTGACTTGCTGAGAGGTCACATCAGTGACAAAAGCATACAAAGGTTGCACATCAAGTGAAAAGGTGGAAGCATGGAGGGAAGGAAAAGTGGGACGACCTGGTAGCAAGAAGCTGTTTGATTCACTCGGCTGTATCACTTGATAGCACTTTTAATGTGACAGGATAATAAACGACAAGTGAAATTTAATATACAGACACACAAAGTGATACACCCGTGAAAAACAACCCTTACCTTCTGTATTCACTGGTAAAACAGCAACTCCACTCAGGAAAGAGGTCTCAGACCACTTGTTCATGGCTCTTTGAAAAGAGTAAGTCAGGACGTAAAAAGGAAGCCACGCAATGTTTGGAAATAGTAAGAAAAAAAACAGAAGTAAGAAAGAAGCAGGACAGCGCTGCTGTAAAATCACATCTTGAATATTGCATGTAGTTTTGTCCACTTTGTCTGAAAAGAGGTCTAAATAGAAAAGATACAGAGTAGGGAGGAAACAAAGATCAGGAATGGTTTCTGTTTGAGGAGCCCAGACTGAAATCCCAGAGCAGACTATGGATTTAGTGCTGCAATGCCACTCCACACTTCTTCATGCTGACATTGAGCTGTTTCAGCACAGTAACCTGGTAGAACACACACACACACACACACACACACACACACACACTCTAAAAAAAAGGGAAGAGTTTCCTGCCAGGTGACTGAGCTGAAACAGCACAGCCACATCTCTGGATGTGGGCAGGGAGACACAAGACATAGGGAGGAAGGTGGCAGCCAGTCCTAGGAAACCTATGCCTGCAGCCGTAGATTCACAAGCCATTTTGGCCAGCTTTGCTGCTGAAATTAGGCCCACGCTCCTTTGCCTGCAGCTCCTCGCTGTCACCCCTGAAAGCCTCTCCCTTTTGGTGTTTGTGCAGCTGTGCAGCAACTCAAGGGGGAACTGATCTGAAATAACATCGATAATTTTTGTTGGGTTACTCTGATTGGGTTTGCTGCATTCCAGCACAAGATGAGGATGTAGCCAAAGGACAGGAAAAAGCAATGGGGACTGGTAGGATTGCTTCTATGAGCAGTGCCAGCTCAGAGGGGTTAGGAAACCAATAATAGAACAAAGCTCTATAGTTCAGGAAAAGGGGTGGTTCTGAAATCATGAGAGGTTTATAAAACGATGTGGTGAAAACAAATAGGGCATGATCATTCACTATTTTGTCATATGACAAAAATGCAAGTACCCTGTAAAATTATTAAGCACTGGACTTCAAACTTGTGAGAAAAAGTTCCTGTCTAGCTTTTGTGAACATTTGGAACCTTCCTGACACACCTGAAGACCTGGAGTACCAAAAGATCAAAAAAACTATTTGACAAATTCATAGACAAGAGGTAAATTTGTGGCTGTTAGTGTTGCAGTGGAAACAGCTTTTACCCGAGAGCTCTTCCTCTGTACTTTTGAGCTGAAAATAGAAAGAAACCATGGTGGTTTATATGCTCTTATATCTCTTACCTATATGTCTCCTGTTGGCCATTGTCAAGACAGAACATACCAGCCTAAGGATGGTTGCTTTGAATGAGTATGCTCCTGTGTTTTCTAGTATGTTACTTCAATGATGTGATATAAATATGTTGTTTACATGTATTATATTTGTAGTAACTTATTGTGGATACACAAAGCCTGTATTAGATTTAGCTAAATAATAAAATTAAACTACTCAAGTTCTTCTTTTCAAACAGGTTATGCCACTGAAGTTTTCTTGAAGAAAATGTAGAGTGGGTGTTACTCATCTGTCACACTGACCCTTCTGCAGGGCAGTATAGAGAAAAGGGGTAACTTTAAAGTGGTGGCAACTAGGCAACCTAAGTGCAGCTCTGAGTTCTGATCCTACAGCTCTGAGTTACAGCTAATAGGGTTTCCCACATTAAACATGTTCTGTGTAAGTGTGGATGGACAAGGGACAGTAAAGGATGGCTTGCAACATATTGGTGTAAACCACATTCATCTCCTTCCTGAGGAGGCTATCCTAAAATACTGAAATAAACTGCAAATGTATTCCTGTAGAAAACCTGCGTTGGTGTATGGGGAAAAGCCAAGTTTCTAATTTACAGCAAGACTGGGTTGGGTTTCGTGCCAGCTTCTCCCTTCCTAGTGATAAGCCCCGGAGCTATTAAAGAGATGTGCCCGGAGGTGAGGGCGCAGCCTCTCCGCCCGCTCCCCGGGTCCCGCCGGCTGCCCATCGGCCCGACTCCCCGTGACTGCCGTTCGCGGGCAGGTACGCGGGGCCGGGCCGGGCGGCCGCTCCGCCGCGAGGTGTGTCCCTGTGCGGCGGCTCGGCGGTGCCTTGGCGAGCGATTGGGCAGGGCGGGCGGGCGAGCGGCTCCGCGGCTCCCCCGCTGGGCTCCCGCCGCCGCGCTCCCGCAGTAGCAGCGCGCTCCCCGCCCGCGCCGCCGCCGCCCCGCGCCGCTCCCGCCGCTCCGCCAGCCCGGCACGGCCCGGCCCGGCCCGGCCGCAGCCGCCGCGCCGCATCATGCCGCATCCCGCGGCGCCCCTCGGGGCCGCCCTGCTGCTCGTCCTGCTGGCGGCGGACTCCTCGCAGAGTGAGTACCGCGGGGGGCCCGTCCCCCCCTGCACACGCCGCCGAGCATCCCCCGCCGCCGTGTGTGTGTATGTGTGTGCGTGTGTGTGTGCGAGCGGGGGGTGTGCAGCTGGGGCAGGGCTGGGGTGCGGGGGGATGCGCAGCTTCGCGGCTGCGGTAGGGACGGCGGCTGGCGGCGGGTGCAGCGGCAGATGCGGGCGAGGGGCCGCGCCGAGGCCGCGGCGACCCCCGGGGGAAGCGCCGGGCAGGGAGGGCGCTCGGTGCGCCCCGGAAGGAGGGTCGGTGCCCCCCGGCGGGGCGGTTTGGTGTGCGGGGTGGGGGATCGGAGGGGTCGGGGCGGCCAGGCGGGCTCAGTTGTTCACCGTTGCTCCTTCCTCCTGCTCCTCTCGTCCTCCTCGTCCTCCTCCTCGCCTCCCCCGCGCCGCCCCGGCGCTCGGCTGCCCAGCCGTGCTGCTGCGCGCCCCGGAGGCTGCCCAGTTCCTGCGGCAGAGGCAGCGGAGAGCCTACCAGATCTTCGAGGAGACCAAGCAAGGGCACCTGGAGAGGGAGTGCGTGGAGGAGCACTGCAGCAAGGAGGAGGCCCGGGAGGTGTTTGAGAACGACCCGGAGACGGTAAGGGAGCAGAGCCGCCGCGGAGCTTTGAGTGGGTTGTCCGGCCCTGCGCTCCCGCCCACCCTCTGTCCATCCGCCGCTGGGTGCCAGCTGCCGGCACAGCTGGGTAAGCCGTCGGTAGGAGGAGGACTCAGGACCATCAGGTGAACGAAAGGCAATTAGGAATACACCCTAGGACTCAGCCTGCACAAGGGCAGTCAGGGCTGTCCCGTTAGGAGTGCCTCGGTGAGGGTGTTCTGGGTGAGCGGCCTGCCCTGGCACCTGTTCAGTCATGGTCTGAATCCATGAAGCAAGATCAGTGCAACATAATAATATGGCTTCTCTGTCTGGGCGCGTTACCATCGCTCCTCTTTACTTTAGCTTCCCATCCCAGCTGTATTTAAAATGTCCTTACTGTTGCAGCATATGTCACAACAGGAGTACCTCAGAAGTATGTCCTAACCACTGATAAATCCTTTGGGGCCATATTCAGCTTGGTCAGCATCTTGGAATCAGTAGATTCAGGATCCATCACTACAACAGCAGGAGAGTATGTATATAGGAATGTGGTATTTCTGCACTAACAGGTGTGGATTCACACTGTTACAGAATGCACACTACACACAGAGCTGTCTTTAACAGTCTTATCAAGGCTGACTTTCACTTCAGTCTTCTCACTTTGAGCAGCATGTGGATGCTCTAATAAGCTTGGCTTATTCTTCCAGTCACTTTACACCTCCTCTCAACACTGTTTTGGATAGTTTCTTCTCATTGCAAAGATTATCTGGAATTGATTTAGCAGTGGGAAGTGGATTTTCTTGGTGTTCAGACTGAAGCTTGATACTGCACAGCATGTTCCTGTTAAATGGTATGATGCTCTAGGGAGAAGATAGGACAGAGAGAGAGAGAGCACGTGTGTGTGTGTGTGTGTGTGTGTGTACACAGAGACACACAAACCACAGGCAAGGGAGGGACTCAACTGAGGAGATGTTTTATGCTTCAGTCAGACAAGTCTTGACATGTGCGCCTCATTAGCAGTCTCAGCACTGGATATACAGCGCAGTAGCTTGTTGTTACAAGGCAGTAGTAAGTACAGCAAAAACATTACGAAGGATTTTTGACAATCTTTATTTTAGAGATTAATGTGGAGCACTTGCCCAGGCAGTGTTTAATGTTACACCTCTTATGTGTATGTGTAGTCACATCTGCACAAAGCAGCGTTTGCTTTGTTCTGCAAAAAGTGAGCTACAGTGGTTAACTGTAATGTGGTGAGTGTGGCTGGCACAACTGCTTCCATATTCATGTTGAGTAATACAACTTTAAGCTCAGTATAAATATCCACCGCATAGCAGTGAATGCAGGGAAAACTGTAAGTGTGATTTTGTAGCATTCTGGAGCAAAGATGATCTGAGGTCACTGGTTTTACTAACTGGCTTTTGGCCAAGAAAGTAGCTGAAGGCATTGCATTGGTAGATCAGTTTAGAGGGTGGTATACTGTGTAAATATGTTTTTAACAATATTTGGTAATTATTTTGTAAATTGAAAAAAAAATACAGTTCTAGTGTAATGACAATAGTGAAATCATTTTGGTTTAAAATATTTTCATGTATAATATAAATTCTTTAAGATACAGTCATGCCACTTAAGCGTGTTTTGTAGGACAATGCCAACTTTCTGTCGTTGCAAATGAGTTTGATTTTTTTGGTGCATTTCCTTCACTATTGCTGCTTGGTTTCACTCAGTTCTTAAAACCACTGAAGAAAGGCTGGATGTGCTTCTAGTGTCTGTACACCCTTACTTATTTGACATGTCCTAGACCAGGACTCTTATGTCTTCAGTGACATAAGATCCTACCTTTTCTGAGATACAGACCTCCCAAGAGCTGTGAAGTTGCTTGTTACGTGCAGTATGTCCTACTCCTTGCCATAACTTTGCTTCAATTTGATTGAGAAGCAAGAGTGCCACCACGTATCAGGAGGATTTATGGCCCTTCCTATCCATTTTGCAATCAGTGTGTGACGTGAAGGGAGCAGCTGCTGTTCCGTAGCAGTTTTCTAATGCAAGGTGGAAGAGGTCATGTATGTGGGCTGTTACTACTCTACATGGGAAACCTTCAGTGCTTTGTAAGGCGTAGGTGACTGCTCCTCCAATGGTATCTGTGGATTTGATGGACAGAGTATTAATATGCAATGGAAGTGTTTCTTAAACAGTAGGGAGTTATTGTGCTGTCATTTCACTGATGCTGTGCTGTACGACCATGGTTCGGCATATTGTCAGGCTGCAGCTGATTCGTGCTGGTAAAGTGAGTTTTTATTGACCAGGGAACCGTACGGATTGCTGTTGAGGCTATGGCTTAGCCTCGTAGCAGGCAAGCCATGGGGAACACATCAGCGCACTGCTCATCTATGCTGTTACATCTCCCAGGTTTTATGCTTTAAAGCACCAGATGACCATCAGTGTAGGCAATTGGCTGTTTGTTGTCCCATGGGAGAAATGGTCTTGCAGCCTTGACAACTGAAGGTTACTTTGAGGTTAGTTTATAGCTTCTCTGTTCAACCTCAAGAAATGCTTGTGATGTGAGACCAAAAGTGTTGTCCCTCTTCCCTTTTCCTCTCCATTAGATATTAATGAAATGTGTGAGTCTTCCTCCAAAACCTACCATTCTTAACTATCCTGTGTTGTGTGAAGAGAATTTCAAGGCTTAACTTCAAAACCTATGATGTAAAGATATGATAGAAAATTCCATGAACTGATTCAGTCAAACAGCCCCAGAAGTAGAGGTAAGATGAAGGAAGGCTGTAGCATAGCTTGCATGAAGCTTCCCAGGTAAAGACTATGTCTTGATACAGTCAATTATAATATCTAGCCAAGAATAACATTATACAGAAAGATACCTATTTCCTGGACAGACCAGTACATAGAAATGAAATGTCGTATATGTATATCAAAGCACCCTTTTTCTGTGCCTTCCATTGTTTCAGTGATCAGTTTTCCAAAGCAACATCTGCAGGCCTAGTCAGCAGAAGATGCACATTCACTGAAACCTAAATGCGGGTGTTGCCACATGTGCAGTTCCTTACATCAACTGCTAAGAATAGTGTATTAGACGGGTCTAAATAGCCATTCATTTGCAGGCCAGTGCAGCTTTTGTCTTTTATGTTACGGAAAATATAAATATCAGCTCACTCAGACTAGAGGAAGGAAGATCAATTGAAATATTTTTAGATTGGATTTTTTTTTTTTTTAGGAGGCAGAACAAAACTCAGTCTGTGCCATTTGTATGACTATACATGGTAAAAACAAGTATGTGCCTGGGTTAATGAGTCTTGCAGCCTACTTTTTTCATGAAGCTGATTATAACATCCTTAAATATTACTGCAGAATTCTGGGATGGTTCCTGTTTTATTATTTCATTTATGCTAGAGGTGCCAAACAGAAAAATTAAAAGATAATATGGTGAGAATAAAAAGAAGGATGAAAAACATGTTCATGGGAGGTATGAGGACTGTTTCTAAACGTGATCTATTAAGATATGCTAGGTGTGATAGATGGGACAAAGTTGCAAAATATCTTGGATGCAGAGATAAGAATGTTATCTTACTTAACATGTTGATGAGGCCTTATAAAAAGCAGTACTGCAGAAATATTTGACCTTGGTATGCAGTCAAGGTATTACAGCTTATTAAGTGACTGATAAACTACTCTGGAATTTGTTTGACCTGATCTAAAAATCTGGTCATCCAAGCATGTAAAACAAAGGGCAGAAGGGAGTGTATCTTCTGGTGTTCTTGGAAACATTGGATTTCACTAAAGAAAAAACACAGAGAAAAAGTGTCCTTGTGCAAGGAGTTTCTCTGTTTTGAAAGGCTCAGCACAGGAAAGGTGTTTGAATGCAGGCTCTTACCATTTGGTACCATAGTTTATCCATACAGCATCTGTCCCTGCACATCTTGCTAGCTGTTGTTGCAGAATTACTGGTGTTCCTGCAGCTCACCATGGAAATTGCCATGCTGAATACATTAAAAGGTGTTAGTCACACCGGAAACGCTGATGTAGGTCAGCCTGGCCGCCTGTGTTTACTGTTTGTGGATTTGGTCCTCAGTAGATTACTGTGGAAAGCCAGCTGGTTTTCATGTGCGTGCAGAACGGACATCTGATTCAGAGGCAGGCACTTGAAAAGTTCTCCTCTTTTTTGTGGGATTTGCATCCAAAATGCTTTTAAAACCTACAGCTTGTCAGATACACAAAACACTGGCAGAGAATCACAGGGTAACTTGGGACTGAAGAGGTATCTAGTCCACTCTCTCACTCATGGCAGGGGCAGCACTAACAGCAGATCAGACTTTTTGGGGCTTTTTGCAATCCTGTCTTGAAAATTACTGATCCTAACAAAACATCCAACAATGTCAGCATTCTTTCTGCTAAGGGTGGATTTACTGGGAAGATGAAATGCAGATGAAGCAATATATAGGGTGTGACAATGGTCAGTTTGGTTGATTTTTACTATGTTGCTAGCTCACTTGGTTTTCTTTCTTTATGTATTCCATGTCATGACATGGTCATGATAACACAGATGAGCTGCATGCATAGACTAGAGTCATCCGAACTTTAGTCTGATCTTTTAGGAAGGGTGCCTGTCAGGCAATATTTAGGTATTATTTCTAAGAATAACAAGGTAGATACGCATTTTTAAATACTAATCATAAAAGTATGAAGGCATGTAGGGGGAGGAGATGAGAGGAGTTATTGGGAGAGTAAAGCAGTGTAATATTTCTTTGAGTAATTTAGTGCATGTTGTGTAGTCTAGACATGAAAAATACTGCTATCATCTTTAGATACAGATGTCATCATCCCTGTATAGAATATTCCCTTCTAGATCCAGGCAGAAATCTTGGGTTTATTTGCTGTGACTGATTCTCAATATACTGATTTGTTTTGACATTTTGGCAGAGCATGGAGAATGGGCTAGTTTTATAGCTGGTATGAATTTCTTTATCTCTTCTTGTTGATGCAGAGAGAGA